TAAGATTATATACTTATTCCTTTATACTTTTTTTTTTTTTTTTTTTTTTTGACAGGCAGAGTGGACAGTGAGATAGAGAGACAGAGAGAAAGGTCTTCCTTTGCTGTTGGTTCACCCTCCAATGGCCGCCGCGGCCAGCGCGCTGCGGCCGGTGCACCACGCTGATCCGAAGGCAGGAGCCAGGTGCTTCTCCTGGTCTCCCATGGGGTGCAGAGCCCAAGCACTTGGGCCATCCTCCACTGCACTCCCGGGCCACAGCAGAGAGCTGACCTGGAAGAGGGGCAACTGGGACAGAATCCAGCGCCCCGACTGGGACTAGAACCCGGTGTGCGGGTGCCGCAAGGTGGAGGATTAGCCTATTGAGCCGCGGCGCCGGCCTATACTTGTTTTAATGCTCATTTAGAGCAGTTAGAGTGTGTGTGTGAGTTTGATCTTTTTTTCTGCACCATTTACTTTATTGTTTATGTCACATATTCCAATGAATATAATAAACTCTTCTTTAAAAAGTAAGGCACATGAAAAAGCCTCTATGCTAGTTCTGGATTATTTTAAAGACCTGTTGGCTGATATTTTCACTATAGAACTGGAGAATCTGGAAATGTTCATGATGTGTTTTTGACACGTGGAATTCCTGATACATTATTAGAGTTTTATATTTTTACCTTTTGGTACAATTAAACAGTCAGCAAACCACATGTTTGCATCATAATGATTATGTTAAAACTGCAAAAACATGAATCAGCTATCCACATACATACAACCAGGTCCCAGATGTTTATTATGTAAAATCTAACATCTGTGTTCCATTCCATTAAAGGTAAGAGATTTGGCATTTTCAGTCTTTCTTCTGTAGTTGTGTTGCTCTTCACAAATCTGATATTGCAGGATTCTGAAGAGCAAGAAAAGATACTCTTCATGAGAGACAGGATCCAGCCATCAGTCTCTGCAGGACACCGCAGCCCTGGCTGAAGGCTGCAATGAGTTCTGTCCCTGTCCTTGTCTGTCAGGCTTCCCAACGAGGGTGTCACTAGAACTAGTCAGAGAGCTGGCAGCCAGAACCTGTGAGTGCCTGCTTGAGCTGGTTCTGGCCGATCATCCTGGAGTTGCCGCTGTCCACAGGTGCGGAAGACGTGTGCCAGTCAGTGCTGTTACCTTCCACACGCCAGCCTCGCTCTCCCCGTCATACACAGGTATGAGCGCCCTGACAGTCTCCCGGTCACCCACCCGACAGTCACCCAACAGAGTTGGGTACCACTGGACGGCGCCCACTGCAGCCTGTTGTCCGACGTCACCGGCTCCTGTCTTTGTCCACGTTCTGGAAGATGCTCCACAGGAAGCTCTGGTCCCGCAGCATGGCGTAGGAGTAGGCAGCTAGGGGCAGAAGAGCGACTGGGCTGAGGCGCTGGCGGCGACTGAGTCTAGTCTGTAATCTGTCTGGAATTTATGCTTGTGATTGGTGAGAAACACGGAGCTAACATCATTTTTTCATCAGGCAAGGGGTCCCACACCATATATTACGTAGCCCAGTATTTCCTCCTTGATTTGAACACCACTTCTCCACCAGCCTATTCCTGAATCCATTTGTCTATTCTGGCACCAATACTAATTTATTTTTAATTATCATAACTGTGTTTTGATTTTTCTGGTGGAGATCTGTGACCTTAACATTACAATTCAGTACTAATTTATTACTAATTTTAGCCTAACTCAACCATGTATTCATGAGGTGAATATTTTGGGGGCATCTATTATATATTATGCACTGGTAAGAAAAATATTGCTGACTGGACTCGATTGTCATTGCCATTACTGCTCTTTTAGTTGATAGTTTTTGGTGGACAAGAAATGGAAGTGGTGGCTGAGAAAAGGAAATGGCGATTTTTTTTTTTTTACAGGCAGAGTGGACAGTGAGAGAGAGAGAGACAGAGAGAAAGGTCTTCCTTTGCCGTTGGTTCACCCTCCAATGGTTGCCGCGGCTGGCGCGCTGTGGCCGGCACACCGCGCTGATCTGAAGGCAGGAGCCAGGTGCTTCTCCTGGTCTCCCATGGGGTGCAGGGCCCAAGCACTTGGGCCATCCTCCACTGCACTCCCTGGCCACAGCAGAGAGCTGGCCTGGAAGAGGGGCAACCGGGACAGAATCCGGCACCCCGACCGGAACTAGAACCTGGTGTGCCGGCGCCGCTAGGCGGAGGATTAGCCTAGTGAGCCGTGGCACTGGCCGATCTTTTTTCTTAAATATTGTTTTGGTTAAGTTGCTGATGTAGCCATAAACAAGAAAGATCAGCTTCGTTCTTTCTGAAGTAATGTGTAAATATGAGGTTGGAGCTCCAATGGAAAACCTAAAAATGTGACCAAAGCCTAAGGAATTAGCAAAAACGGAATGTCATGTAAAATCCTAAGAATCATTCTTATTGCAATTTATTTCCTGGCCTTAGCCTGCCAATTAGTTGGTGAATGACTTTTCACATAAAAATTAGGGCAAGGTCTTTCCTCTTCCTTTATGAAACTTACTTTGAGAGTTACACACCAAGTCATAACCAGGGAAGCATCACACCACCACAGGAAGATCCTATGTGTATGTGCTCAGAGGATATTTAATTGAATGTTCCTACTCCCTCAGATTAGCCCTTTGGCAAAGTTAACTCATTTCATTTCCAAAGGATATGAGGTAACCAGGGAGCAAAAGAGAATGAGAATCAGCTAGAATTTGCAATCAGGGAGAAGGTTCAGGTTTATTCTGTAAAGCTAGGAACAACACCAGGAAGTCTGTCATCTTTACTCAGGTCAAGGAAATTGATTTAAAAGGCTCTAAAACAAGGCAGGTGTTTGGCCTGTTAAGACACTGGTTGGGACACCTGAATTCCATATCAGAGTCCTTGGGTTCATTTAAATAAGTGTAGAAAATTTTTAAAAACTCTTAAGCAGAGAGTCTTTGAAACTTTTTTTTAAAAAAAGATTTATTTATTTACTTGAAAGTCTGAGTTACACACAGAGAGGAAGAGGCAGAGAGAGAGGTCTTCCATCTGCTGGTTCACTCCCCAATTGGCTGCAATGGCCGGAGCTGCGCCGATCCAAAGCCAGGAGCCAGGAGCCTCCCCCAGGTCCCTCACATGGGAGCAGGGGCCCAAGGACCTGGGCCGTCCTCCACTGCTTTCCCAGGTCATAGCAGAGAGCTGGATCAGAAGTGGAGCAGCCAGGACTCGAACTGGCGCCCATATGGAATCCAGCACTGCAGGCGGGGACTTTACCTGCTACGCCACAGAGCCGGCCCCAAGTCTTTGAAACTTTAATGGTTACCTACACGTACAAGTAATTACAGGAACTTTTGACATCTATTTGTGCATGGTAGCATTATAGTAATATTCAGAGATAATCTATTTGAGTGCCAGTGTGAAATTCCACCCAGGAACTATTGAAGCAGCTACCATGCTTGAGATAGAGAAGTGAACCAGGCAGACACAATTCCCTCCCTCAGCCAAGGAACTTCCCCTTCCCAACCACGTATTCTCCATCAATGTCCAAAACAGTGATCCAGCACCCGTCAATACTCAGAAAATATTCTCCAAAAGCACAGTATAAATGTTCCTGACACGACTTCTAAGGCTTTGGGTCGGTATTGTGGTGCATCGGGGTAAGCTGCTGTTTATGACACCGCTGTTGGTTCAAGGCCCACTGCTCCACTTCCAACTCAGCTCCCTGCTAATGTGCCTGGGAAAGCAGCAAAAGATGGCCTACTTGGGCCATGAATACTTGGGCTCCTGCCACCCATGTAGGAGACCCAGATGGAGTTTCAGGCTCCTGCCTTCTGCCTGGCCCAGTCCTGGCTATTGCGGCCATTAGAGGGGTGAACCAGCAGACGGAAAATCTCTGTCTCTGTCTCCTTCTCTTTGTAACTCTGCTTTTCAAATAAATAAAATAAGTCTCAGAACAAAAACCTTCTAAGGCAGGGGTGGGGGAAAATCATTTGGTCTGGCCCTGCCAAGGCAACGACTGGCAGGACTTGAAATTCAATACATCTATAGCAGGCTAATTTTTAAGTTGATAATTTTGTATGACCTGAGAATGATGTTATAAATGGCCCTTGGCAGAAAAAAAGTTTCCCCACCCCTGCCTAATGAATAGAACTTGAAAGATGAATAATTCCTTAACTGAGCATGATGCAAATCTAGAAAGGTAAAGGGCATACTTAATCTGGTAGTCACTCACAGAAAATGTGGGTTACATCTGTAGGGAGAACAAGCCCGGTTACTCATAAGGTGCCATACTGGGCAGTGCTCAAGAGAACAGGCACCACCATACGACTCATCTAGGTCTGGCACACATCCACACTCTCCTGATGCTCCCACTTTTCTCCTCAATTTTTTCCCCAAAAAAGTGTTGACATAATAATGGCTGATGGCATCTTCTAAGCAGCAGCATCGTGGAAGGTATAACCCGGTCTTTAGAGTGAGACCTTCGTTAGAACCCTGGTACTATCTATGTCTAGCTGTGAACACTTGTTTCATTGTAGTGTTCTGCTATAAACTGCTCCTAAGAGACTGGGGTAGCTGTGGCAAACTTAGAGATGAGCATGACAAAGCAGTCCTCCCCTTCCCCACATCATCATAGTTGTATTCCTGCCAGTTACCTAGTACCTGCCCCACTGATAGCCTTGCCGAAGGCCCACCCAGCTGTAGCAAACTGTTTATTTCCCAGAAAAGGCGCTGTGAAGTCTCAAGAATCTCAAGTTAAATCTCCAACTCTTTGTTCAGTTTGTCCTCATCTAACAGCCAACATGCCCCTTTCCATATACTTGGTTTTCTGTTAATCATCTTTCACACTCATTGATATGCAAAATTAATTAAAAATTTGAGAAAAAGTGCTATATTACATCCAAAATATTAACATTTATAGTTATTAATGAACTATTTAGGTACTTTCAGTCAAGATACTACAAAGCTTTCCAGTACTGAAGACTAATAAGGTATACTAAAGTAGTACACTTAATACCATTAAAGCTATTATCTTGAGAAAAAATTTATTTATTTCAAAGGCAGAGTGACAAGAGCACAAGAGAGGAAGTGAAAAAGAGAGCTATCATCCACTGGTTCACTTCCCAAGTTACCACAACGGCAAGGGCTGGGCTAGAAGCCAGGAACTCCATCTGGGTCCCCCAAATGAGTTACAAGGGTCCAAGTCCTTGGACCATTATTCCCTTCTTTTCCAGGAGTGTTATCAGGGAGCTGGATTGGAAACCGAGCAGCCAGGACTCAAATTGGTACTTTGGATATGGGATTCCAGCATTGCAAGTGGTGGCTGTGCCACAACACCAGCCCCAGCCACTTCCTTTTTAAATGTGAATTTCACGAAGTATGAACAACTTAGAGGACAAATTAAGGTTCAGTTTTAAAGATGAAGAACTAAGACATTTCAATGATCTCACAAAGCTCACCAGGAAACAAACTGTCTGTTGAAAGGGGATAACTGGGCGAGTGCTGCTGCTCACTTGGCTAATCCTCCACCTGTGGTACCGGCATACCTGGTTCTAGTCCCGGTTGCTCCTCTTCCAGTCCAGCTCTCTGCTGTGGCCTGGGAAGGCAGTAGAGGATGGCCCAAGTGCTTAGGCCCTGCACCCGCATGGGAGACCAGGAGGAAGCACCTAGCTTCTGGCTTTGGATCGGCGCAGCGCGCCAGCTGTAGCAGCCATTTGGGGGGTGAACCAACGGAAAAGGAAGACCTTTCTCTCTAACTCTGCCTGTCCAAAAAAAAAAAAAGGATAACTGAGAATTTAAAGAAGACACCAATTTTAATGGGGCAAGATCGGTGACAGGAAACCAAGTCAAGGTGCTCATGTACCTCAGCAGTGTCCAGTAAATCTGCAATAATGGAAATGTTACACATCTATGTCTATTACAGTAGTCATAACCAACATTTGGCTATTGAGCACTTAAAATGTGGCATGACTAAATCACTTAATTCCAATTCCTAATTTTACTTAATTTTAATTATGTTGTTTCAATAGTCACTTGTTGCGCATAGCTCCTATGTTGGGCAGTTGGGAAGCCATTACAACTCCTATACATGCAGAGGTTAAGGAAAAAGAACAATTAATTACAGACACTTGGAGTGACACAGACTAGAGCTTTGTCTTGTAGAAGGGGACTACATTGACAGGAGCTGTAGCCTTGGATGGAATGTAGCCATTGCCCACCTGCAGTCTGGCAGAATATCCTGACTCACTCTTCTTGCCCACATTCCTCTCTTGTGCCTGACTGGTGGACTCAACTAGAAACTAGAGGACACAGTACACTAATGTGGTCCATAAAAGTCAGCTTGTTGGGACAGAGTGTAATGAAGGGTGGAGAGTAGATCTAGAGTAAAACATACTATGAACATAACACATCAAATGCTTGGTACACTGGCACAGATCTAAATAAATATGGAACCAGCAGCAAAAAAAATTATCAAAAATGGTTTTGGTTTTTCACTGAGTCCTACAAATGTTTCTGGTAGTTAAAGCTATCGCAGAGTTCTCTGTTGCACTAAAGAGCACAATGCTTTCATCAAACTCCAATTGTAGTTATTCCAGGGTTCACATATGAAGAAAATTACGTCAATACCATGTCCATTCAGCTATATTCAACACTATACACACACACACACACACACACACACACACACACACACACATATTTTCTTTCAGTTTTCCTTATTTTATTTGACAGGTAAAGACAATCTTCCATCTGCTGGTTCACTCGCCCAGTACCTGCACCAGCCAGGCCTATGTTAGGCTGAAGCCAGGAGCCTGGAACACCATCCAGGTCTCCTATGTCAATTGCAGGGACCCAGGATTTGAACCATCTGCTGCCTTCCAGGGTGTTCATTAGCAGGATGCTAGATCAGAAGCAGATTGCCTGGGACTCAAAAAACGTACTCTGATATGGGATGCCCCAAGTGACAACCACACACCCGTCTCAACTCTGTGTTCACATCAAATATCTGTGTGAAGCTTTTTCCAAGGCACCTTCTCAAATCACAAGGCTCAGGATTGGCACATTTTTTTCCTTGACTTAGGTAAAAGGCCATTTTAACTCAATAAATGCTTAAACTTAGATTACCTAATTGGAGGAAGACCAACAAACAGAACATATGAATACAAAGGCCTGTATGGCCTCTGTATTCTAGCTAGATTTTACTTTTTTACTATCCTAATGATTGTTATTATGTATTTTATAATCTTTTACCCTTTCTGTGCTGAATATAGTTAAGGGGAAAAAAGGGGAGGAAATGGCAATACCTATAGCCAGAGTCAAGTCCTATTTATGGAAACCTTTATTATCTACTTTAGTGGGTCCTGAATATACCCGAGTCCAGTCCTTACTGCTCAGTGCTTAAAGACGACAGGTCTAATGTTACTGCATGGGGGTTGAAGTAAGTGCCAAAGGAAAAGCAGTTCCCACCTCCTCCAAGGAGCAAGAGCTGTTGCTCTTCAGGAAGGAGGATGCTAGTATGATTGTGTAACATTAGAGGCCAGGGCACAGATGTTGTGTCAATCTGATACTCAGAGCTCAGTCCTGTAGTCAAATTGATCACAGTCACTCCAGGAAACGAGGAGGAATTAATCCACACTCCTCCAACCAACAACAGCTTTCCATTGAGCACGTGAGCTGTGTGGGAATATCTTGGGGTAATGGGAGGCTGAATGTCTACTGATTCCCAGAGGAATCCGCAAGAAACTGGTTTCAGAAAGAATACAGAGTTCAATGGCTGCTCAGAAGCCGCCAGGCCTCCAGCAATAAGGGCTCCCCCTTGCCAACCGCAGGCACTGTGGGAATGTCGAGCTTCAGGTGCAGCCCCCTCCACAGGGATCCTGACCCAGGCCATCGTCTCCAAATGGAGGAAATGCCAGTCACTTAATACAGGTTCCACCACGCTTCGACCCCCATACACAAACAAGTATTTCTGATTCTGACAGGACACTTCTGTCGTCGAATGCCGCCAACATGACAAAGAGAAATCTTCTGGGTCAGTCTTCGTTACGGTCACGTGCACACCCTCACTGCTATTATTTTCACTCTTAGGAAGATGAAGTTTGAGAACCTTCCAGGCTGGATTTACTGGGGAAAGTCTCCCTCCCAGAATGAGAACCTGAGTATCCGAAAGTCTCGTCATTGTGTGATAAAGGCGTCCATCCCACTGAGCCCCTGTCTCCCAACTGCATATCTGGCTGCCTTTCCATTCAAAGGTACAGTCTCTTGAGAGCAGGTGAAACTTGCTCACGCGGCAGTGCCGTCCGTCCTGCTCTCCAAATCCTCCTGTAGTGAGAATGGTGCTTGGGCTCAAGAGGACGGAGGCATGGCCGTATCTCTTAAGGTCTGGACCCTGGATGTCCCTTGTGGCTACACTGGCAGGGAAGACTCCTGAAGGGGAAGCTGGATCTATCCGGGGAAACTCCTCTGAGGGTGGGAACACCAGAGTTCGGGAGAAAGTGTCTCCCCGGGAAGCTGCCAGAATGAAATAGTGGGCGCACTTCAGATGCCACTCCTCAAACTCGTCAAAGGGTTCCAGATTTTCCATTCTCTGGCGTTCTTGTGCGGGGAGAAAGCGCTGGTAGAATTCATTCATGTCCACGGCACTGCAGGCAGTCCAGCCAGCGTGAAGGAAGCGGTCCCTCTGGGCCTCCACGTCAGGAAAGCGGTCCAGGCCATGGAGCGGCGAATTCAGCTGCCGAAAATGTTGCAGCATGAACTGGCCAAAGGCGTCTTCCGGCCTCATCTGCTCGTAGATCACGAAGAGAGCATCAGAAAACCGCTGGGCTGCCCAGGCGATGAGGGCCGCGGCATTATCTGGCTCGAGGTAGGTCAGCACGGCCTCTGCCAAGAGCAGAGTGGGCGAGTCCGCACCGAGGCCCGCTCCGGCCAGGGCCTCGTCCAGTCGCTGCAGCTGCCGCAGGTCCAGGCCCAGGATGCGGTAGTCCAAGCTCTCAAAGCACAGCGCTGACGCCAGGTCCCCCTTCCGGAAAGGGCCGGTTAACGCGCACAGTTCTGGCGTCTCTCCAATTCTCTCCGCTTTGCGCCGCGCCACCTCCGGGAAATCCACCTCCCAGACAGCAGCCCCGGCGAGGCGGCCTGCAGTTTTGAGGCGGAAATACAGCGAGTCGGAGCCTGCACCCAAAGACAGGATCTGGGAACGACGCCCTTCGGGGTGCGCGCAAGCCCGCTCCAGGAAGGCGCGCACGCAGTGCCCCACGGCGCGTGCGCGGACGTAGTAGCCGCGGTGGATCAGCGGCGCGCGGCGCGCGGCTCCAGGAACCAGCAGCGCGGCGAAGGCGTCCTGCACGTACCCGCGCGCGGCCAGGGAGCTCTTGCTGAGGGCGCTGCTGTCGTTGGTGCTCTGCACTGCTCCCGCCCGACGCTCGCGGCTCCGCGGGCCCATGGCCAGGAGAGATTCAGGAACGGCGGCCCGGCACGGTCACGAGCCGCTCTTTCGCGCCTGTAATGCACACCTCACAGATTTCCGTACGGGGAGGGGGGGATTTAAAAAAGAAACCCTTCCTCTGGACTTCCTCTTCCGCGCACGAATGTGCGTCACTTCCGGGGAGAGCGCGCTGCGCCAATGAGCTCAGGAAGGGGTAGCTTGCGCTAAAATACGAGGGCGATTGACCTTTTTTTGGTTCTGCCGGGAAGACAGTCTGCTACCCCTGTGATATGTGTGTTAGGGGAGGGCCGCTTGCATTTTTCTGTACCAGCTTTTCAGTCTGAAGAGAAAACATGTTTAGAGCCTCATAGTTGCGAAACCTCCAGGTGAGTCTCTGGGGACTGACGACCTGACTCCTTGAATGGCGACGGAGTGGTCAGCACCACGGACCTCTTCTCGGTGCTGATTAATAATAGTTGCTAATTGCGTTTTTGTTGTAAAAGGGGCTACATTTAAACCTGAAGACAAACCAGTGAGGTCAGGTGCAAAGTGAAGAAACTGACCTTCACAGCTACTTTACAGGTATTTACAGTAAACGGCCTCCCTCAGGTAACTTGATTCCCTTGTACCCCCAGCTCTGTGCTGGGCTGTTTCCCGTCTATAAAGCGACACTCCCCCTCCACTTCCAAAATGGTGTGATTCCGAGGCGATGCTGAAGGCATGCGAGGAAGGGGAGATCCTGGGAGCGAGGTCGTTTTTCCCTGTGATGTGTCTGAGCCTTGTTTTTCAGGAAGGAACCCAGGTTGGAGTCCGAAATAACCATAGATTGGATGGCTGGGAGTCAGTAGGAAGCTGCTTCCAGAGATATTTAGGACATTTACAATTTATTGGTTAGGATTTGGTGACTTGACTGCAATAGAGAATGAAATCAGCTTGACTCTATGTTGTGGTTAACTGGAAGTAGTATCACATAGTGGTTAAGAGCAGTTTGGGAATCCAGCCAGGACTTAGAACACTGGAGTCAAGAAAAAGTTGGGGTCAGGATAAAGATTTGTTCATTGAAAGATGTCATTTAGCTTGGGTGTTTAAGAGCTCGGTAGGGAAAGCAGTTTGTGTGTAACATTCAGGACAGATCCATTTTTCAGTGAATGGGAGATAAGCTAATGGAGACATTCACTCTAAATTCCACTTTGCAGGCGCTTATTTAGCTCAAGAAGGAAAAGAGGACAATAGCTAATGAAGATTGTGGGATAAAGAAGAGTTTTTCCTTTGTTTTGTTTTCAGATGGAAGCAAATAAAGCAGGTACCTTTTTGTCCCCGAGGGAAATCAGCCAGTGGAAAGGGAGGGGTTGAACTCACTGGAGGAGTAAGGACTTGTAGTAAGGTAATAGGCCTGGGGACAGAAGAGTGAACCTTTTTTCCCTTGATTCATGAGGGAAAAAAAGTGTGGGTAAAGATAAGGTTGGATGTGAGATGAAGACTGAGAAATAGAAGGGAGTCGTGCCTGATGGCTCTGTTTCCTCTGTGCAGTTGGTGGCAGGGTTGTCAGTTTCGAGTAAAGCAGTTGGATGCAATGGAACACTGGAAGAGTTTGGAATTACCTCTGAGGGGCCTGGCTGGAGGGCTCCCCTGAGCTTCCTGGGTCTTTGAATCTTCTGTAAAGTGAGAGGACTAGTGCTGATCTGTGAAGTATCTCAGAATTGATTGAGAGCCAAATGGGGGAAAAGGAGTTGAAAGACTGAAAAAACCAGAGCTCTGTAGAAATGGCTTTATTTAATAACAAGTTAGTAGGCTGAAGATGTTATGTTTAAAATATGAATGTCTTTTTTTACAAAGAGACCAAGAAAAGTGATTTTTTTTTTTTGACAGGCAGAGTGGACAGTGAGAGAGACAGAGAGAAAGGTCTTCCTTTTTCCGTTGGTTCACCCTCCAATGGCCGCAGCGGCCGACGCGCTGCGGCCGTCGCACCGCGCTGATCCAAAGCCAGGAGCCAGGTGCTTCTCCTGGTCTCCCATGGGGTGCAGGGCCCAAGTACTTGGCCATCCTCCACTGCACTCCCGGGCCACAGCAGAGAGCTGGCCTGGAAGAGGGGCAACCGGGACAGAATCCGGTGGCCCGACTGGGACTAAAACCCCATGTGCTGGCGCCGCAGGTGGAGGATTAGCCTATTAAGCCGCGGCACCGGCCAGAAAAGTGATTTAAGAGGAAAGAGAATAGGACAAAATGTATGATTTTGGTGTTCTAGGATTTTTTTCCTTCTATTAAATATTTTTTTAAAATTTATTTTCATTTGAAAGGCAGATTTTGGCTGGTGTTGTGGTACAGCAGATTAAACTGCTACCTGCAATGTTGGCATCCCATATGAGCACTGGTTCAAGTCCTGGATGCTCCACTTCAAATTGAGCTCCCTGCTAATGTGCCTTGGAAAGGCCTGAGTGCTTGGATCCCTGCCACCCATGTAGGATACCAGTATGGAGTTCCTGGCTCCTGCTCAGCCCCTGCCATTACAACAGCTTGGGGAGTGAACTAGTAGATAGAAGATCTCTGTCTTCCCCTCTCTCTCTGTAACTCTGTCTTTCAAATAAATAAATAAATCTTAAAAAAAAGAATGGAAAGAAAGGCAGAGACAGAGATGTTCCATCTGGTGATTCACTCCTCAGATATCCTCAACAGCCAAGGCTGGTCCAGGCTAAAACCAGCAGCAGGGAACTCTGTCCAGGTATCCCATATAAGTGGCAGGAACCCAACTTCTTAGGGTATCACCTTTAGCCTCCCACGGTGTGTGTGAGCAGGACGCTGCATCCCAAGCAGAGAAACTCCAAAATGGGACACCTGTGTCTAAGTGGCATCTTACCACCTGAGTCAAAGACCCTCTCTGCCCACCCTGTTTTTTCCTTTTGTAATCTCAGTTTATTCTTATGTAAAATGGGAGTAATAATACCTCATGAGTTGTAAGAATTTAATTAATCATTGAGGTTTATCTCAGTGTCTGGTTTATAGTGCACAATAAGTAGTACCAAATATTTTTATTATTTTGAGTGGTCAAAGAAGCATGAAAAAAGTTTCCTGGGAGACTGGAGACTTGGTTTGGGCCTTGTTGTAGCTTGTTGAAATTTTATTAATGTAGAAAGATCTGAACCCAGTGTTTTTGCCTTTCAGTCCCTTCCATCTCAGCTGCCTCTGATTCAGGCCAAAAGTAGCTCAGGAAGGTTGGATTTGTCAGGGCGTGCTTTCATGGGAAGCAGCATCTTCTGCAAGGAATAGCGTCTTTTTAAAAATGTGTAAGGATGATGCTTGTTTTGGTGGCTTTCAGATCTCCACAGGTTAACATAGTAGCCAGGGGGTCCATAAATGTACTCCAGGGTAGTGAAAGATCAGTCTAGAGGGTGGCTAAGTGAGGCACAAATTAGGTGAGGATTCAGGAATAGAATCGAAAATGTATATGAAAAGCTAGCCACCCATGTTTTTTTTTTAAGAATTATTTATTTGTTTATTTGAAAGGCAGAGTTACAGAGAGGCAGAGGCTCAGAGAGAGAGAGAATCTTCTGTCCGCTGGTTCACTCCCCAAATGGCTGCAACGGCCAGAGCTGAGCCAGCTGAGCCAATCCTAAAGCCAGGAACTGGAAGCCTCTTCTGGGTCTCCCACACGGGTGCAGGGCCCAAGGGCCTGGGCCATCTTCTACTACTTCCCAGGCCACAGCAGAAAGCTGGATTGAAGTGGAGCAGCTGGGACTCGAACCAGCGCCCATATGGGATGCTGGCGCTGCAGGCGGCAGTCTTACCTGCTATGCCACAGTGCTGGCCCCACCACCCACCTTTTTTTTTTTTTGACAGGCAGAGTGGACAGTGAGAGAGAGAGACAGAGAGAAAGGTCTTCCTTTTTTTTTTTTTTTCCCCTATGGTTCACCCCCAATGGCCGCTGCGGCCGGCACGCTGCGGCCGACGCACCGCGCTGATCCAAAGGCAGGAGCCAGGTGCTTCTCCTGGTTTCCCATGGGGTGCGGGGCCCAAGCACTTGGGCCATCCTGCACTGCACTCCTGGGCCACAGCAGAGAGCTGGCCTGGAAGAGGAGCAACCGGGACAGAATCCGGCGCCCCAACTGGGACTAGAATCTCGTGTGCCGGTGGGCGCCGCAGGCGGAGGATTAGCCTATTGAGCCAAGGCACCGGCCTCCACCACCCATCTTAAATGCCATTGTAGGCTGTCAACTCTTTGTCTAAACATAAAATTTCTTCACCTTTTCTGTTTGTGATAATAAAGGTGTATTGTAAGCACCAGTTTTTAAATTTATTTTTAAGCATTTTTTTAAGTTATAAAAATAGTTTCAAATTGCAGTATAACTTTCAAACAGCAGAAAAGTATATAAGGTACCCAAAAGTAAAATTCTCTCTCCTAACCTTTCTTTCTTTTTTCTTTTTTAAGATTTATTTTATTGGGGCCGGCACAATAGGTTAATCCTCAGCCGGTGGTGCCAGCATCCCATATGGGCGCCTGTTCTAAACCTGGCTTGCTCCTCTTCCAATCCAGCTCTCTGCTATGGCCTGGGAAAGCAGTAGAAGATGGCCCTTGTCCTTGGGCCCTTGAACCCATGTGGGAAACTCGGAGAAAGCTGCTGGCTCCTGGCTTCGGATTGGCACAGCTCCAGCTGTTGCAGCCATTTGGGAAGTGAACCAGCAGATGGAAGACCTCTCTATCTCCCTCTCACTGTCTGTAACTCTACCTCTCAAATAAATAAATAAAATAAAATAAATCTTTTTTTAAAAAGATTACAGAAAAAGTTACAAAGACAGAGAGAGGTCTTCCATCTGCTAGTTCATGCCCCAGGTGGCCACAATGGCCAGAGCTGAGCTGTTCCAAAGTCAGGAGCCAGGAGCTTCTTCCAGGTCTCCCACGTGGGTGCAGGGGCCCAAGAAGTTGGGTCATCCTCCACTGCTTTCCCAAGACATTAGCAGGGAACTGGATTGGAAGTGGAGCAGCCAGGACTCAAACTGGCACCCATATGGGATGCCGGTGCTGCAGGCTGTGGCTTTAATTTGCTGTGCGACCGCTCCGGTTGTCCCCTAACCTTTCCTACTTCTGACCCACTTTCTAGTGTAACAGTTTTCTCTGTATCATTTCATATGTATTTTAGGCACAACAATATAAGTATGTATGATATTTGTTTATGAGTCTATGCATAAATATACATACACATACATATATATTTTTGTTCAGGCATGCCATCTCTCTAAAGATACTACTTTTAGGCCGGCGCCGCAGCTCACTAGGCTAATCCTCCGCCTTGCGGCGCCGGCACACCGGGTTCTAGTCCTGGTCGGGGCGCCAGATTCTGTCCCGGTTGCCCCTCTTCCAGGCCAGCTCTCTGCTGTGGCCAGGGAGTGCAGTGGAGGATGGCCCAGGTGCTTGGGCCCTGCACCCCATGGGAGACCAGGAAAAGCACCTGGCTCCTGCCTTTGGATCAGCGTGGTGCGCTGGCCGCAGCGCGCCGGCCGCGGCGGCCATTGGAGGGTGAACCAACGGCAAAGGAAGACCTTTCTCTCTGTCTCTCTCTCTCACTGTCCACTCTGCCTGTTAAAAAAAAAAAAAAAAAAGATACTACTTTTTGAAAGTGATGTAAGATCATAGAAATCTTTCCATATTGGCATAGATATTCAGTTGGACAGATAGATAATTGATTAGTTACCCTATTGATGGCATTTAGGTTATTTCCAGTTTTTTTTTCTGTTATCAACAGTGCTGCAAAAATATATTTGTATGTGTCTTAAGAGATATAGGACAAATTTATGAAAGTATAATTATTAGGTCAAAACTATTTTCTTTTCTTAAATTGATAGATTTTTTTAAAATTTATTTATTTGAAAGGCAGAGTTAGAGAGAGAGATTGTCTATCCACTGGTTCACTCCCCAAATGGCTGCAATAGTTGGGGGTAGGCCAGGCCAAAGCCAGGAGCATGGGATGGGTTCAGGGGCCCAATAACTTGAGCTGTCTTCCACTGCTTTCCCAGGCACACCAGCAGGGAGCTGGATTGGAAGTGGAACAGCCGGGATCAGAACCAGCACTCATGTGGAATGCTGATGTCCTAAATGGTGGCTAAATCCATGGCACCACAACACTGGCCTTAAATTAATTGATATTGCCAAATTGTTTTCCAAAAATACCGTTTTCCAAAAAGACAGTTGCAAGTTCTACTCTCACCAGATCTTTTATTTATATTTTTGCCAATATATGATGTTCTGCTGGGCTTTGGATTTTTTTCCCCTGGATTTTTTTTTTTGACAGGCAGAGTAGACAGTGAGAGAGAGAGAGAGAAAGGTCTTCCTTTACCGTTGGTTCACCCTCCATTGGCCGCCGCGGCCAGCACACTGCGCCTATCCGAAGGCAGGAGCCAGGTGCTTATCCTGGTCTCCCATGGGGTGCAGGGCCCAAGTTCTTGGGCCATCCTCCACTGCCTTCCCGGGCCACAGCAGAGAGCTGGCCTGGAAGAGGGTCAACCAGAACAGAATCTGGCGCCCCGACCAGGACTAGAACCTGGTGTGCCGGTGCCGCAAGGCGGAGGATTAGCCTAGTGAGCCGTGGCGCCGGCCTTCCCTGGATTTTTTTTTTTAAGATTTATTTATTTATTTGAAAGAGTTACACAGAGAGGGAAGGAGAAACAGAGAGAGAGAGAGGTCTTCCATCCACTGGTTCACTCCCCAATTGGCCGCAATGGCCAGAGCTGCACCAATCCGAAGCCAGGAGCCAGGAGCTTCTTCTAGGTCTCCCACATGGGTGCAAGGGCCAAAGCACTTGGGCCATCTTCCACTGCTTTCCCAGGCCATAGCAGAGAGCTGGATCGGAAGTGGAGCAGCCGGGTCTCGAACCAGCGCCCACACGGGATGCTGGCACTGCAGGCGGTGGCTTAACTTGTGATGCCACAGTGCTGGTCCCTTTCCTGGATATTTTTATAAGTCATCTAGGTGAACATTAAAATAAAATTTTAATAAATAATTTTGGGAATATTTTGATTAACATTTACTTTGTAAGTCAGTTTATGACAAATTGACATTACCCATGGAAGAATGAAGTTTTAAAAAATTTTTTATGAAGTCTTTTATGTTTTTCAGCAGATATTAAACACCATCAATTTAATAGCCCATCAATTTTATTTGTCACTGTTAAGCACTTTCTAAGGCATTACAGTGAAATGCCACTTTTATCTAACCCTGAGTTTGCCTTTCTATAGATTCCTGTGGTTCTGTTTAGTCTTATACAAACTACTTTCAGAAGTGAAGAGTAATGAGGATTTATTTATTACCCACAATGTGCTAGACCCTGTCGTAGGTACTAGGGTGGTAAAATAAAGAATAATCCCCATTGAGATACAGTCTAGTAAGAGAGAAGTCAGTGATTGAGATGTAAGGTGATAAAGGTTCTGAGTTAAAAGTTGTCACCAGAGGGCCTGACACTGTGGTGTAGCAGCTAAAGCTACCACCTGTAGTCCTAGCATCCCATATGGGTGCTTGTTCGAGTCCCGGCTGCTCCACTCCCAATCCAGCTCTCTGCTAATGGCCTGGGAAAGCAGTCGAAGATGACTCAAGTGCTTGGGTCCCTGCACCTGTGTGGGAGACCCAGAAGAAGTTCCAGGCTCCTGGCTTCAGATCGGCACAGCTCCGGCCATTGAGGCCTTTTGGGCAGTGAACCAGTGGATGGAAGACCTCCATCTCTCTCTCCTTCTTCCTCTCTCTCTCCCTTTCTGCCTCTGTCTCTGTGTCTCTGTAACTCTGCCTTTCCAATAAATAAATAAATCTTTAAAAAAGAAAAGGTTGTCACCAGATCGTAGGTAACATAGAGGGAAATTTAAATTACCCTTCTAACCCTCACAACTACCCTGTATCTTTACTTCATTTCTACAAATAAGGAAATTGAAACTATGAGGATAAATGAGTTTAGGCCACTTCACTACTAAACTGCAGACCTGGTAAAAAGATAAACCTAGGTCCATCTGACTCTTGATACTGCTGCTCTTCCTTTGTATATTAACAATTCAAAAATGTAAATTTTGGTTTTACACAAAATAGGCCTTTTAAGGTTTTTAATTTTTAAAGTAGGTTTATAGAAAGCATCAACAGGTAAATGAGCCATTTCTGTTTCTAGTTCAGATTGTTTAGTGATAATTTCTCCACCTCAGACTTAAGTGAGCTGTGGAGAAGCTTTTGCCCTTGAAGAATTAATTGACAGAATTCCATTTGTTTGCTTTTATATCACCATCTGAAAACACATTTGTTAAAAATAGGTGAAGCTGAGCCCAGACCTACCTAGTGAGCTCGTCTCATCAAAATATGTGGAAATAAAATAATCTGAAGAAAATTCAGGACCACAGAATTTACTGACTGAAATACACTGTATTTTGCACACCAAGAGTAAGAGTGGAGAGGAACCATTTTTTCCCTGCTGAAATCATGGTGGAGGTGGAGGAACAGCACCAGTCATGGAAGACAGACTTTTACCTGGAACTACCAAAAGTGGTGAGCATTCAACTGTGGAATTCTTGAGTGATTGCTAATTATAATGACTTTTATATTGTTTCTTTTCACACACAAAAAAAGTAATCTTAGGTAGATAAATCTAATATGTGATTTGCCTAGTATGGACTACAGATATCCAGTACTTGGGATAATGATATGAATTTGGGTGATACTTAATGATGTTTTCCCTTTTCTTAGGAACTTCATGCCCACTTGAATGGATCCATTAGTTCTAATACCATGAAGAAGTTAATAGCCAAGAAGCCAGACTTTAAAATCCACGATGAGATGACTATGATTGAGAAAGGAAAGAAAAGAACTCTTGAAGAGTGAGTTTGGGGAGATTGTAGACATACTTTTTTTTCTGTAACAGTAGTTTGAGATTATAAGTGAAATATAAGAATTTAGATTTTAGTAGTTAAATAATGCAGGCATCTGGCTCAGAGAATATAACCTTGACATACAGCATTTTTTCAACTGTGAGAGTGTGAACAGTATTTTCAATGATTTGTGTTGTTTATGAAGTTATATAATAATGGAGTATTCTGTAGCCTTGAAAATATGGGCATATTGATGTTTTCCCCCAGTTTGCAGCTACTAGGGACTAGGGTAGGGTTGGAGAGGGTAAACTAGTGTTTCTTTTTTAAAAGTATCAGTAAGGGAGCCGGCACTATGGCATAGCAGGTGAAGCCACCGGCCTGCAGTGCCAGCATTCCATATGGGTGCTGGTTAGAGTCCCGGCTGCTCCACTTCCGATCCCACTCTCTCCTATGGCCTGGGAAAACAGTAGAAGATGGCCCAAGTCTTTGGGCCCCTGCATCTGGATGGGAGACCCAGAAGAAGCTCCTGGCTTCTGGCTTTGGATCGGTGCAGCTCCGGCCATTGCGGCCAATTGGGGAGTGAACCAGCGGATGGAAGACCTCTCTCTCTGTACCTCTCCTTCTCTCTCTCTGTAACTCTGACTTTCAAATAAATAAATAGATCTTTCAAAGTTAATATAATGTTTAAAATTTTTTTTCTGTAGTTCTTTGTAAGTATAAATATATATACTTACTATTAGCCTATAATCAATTAATTCAGATTAGTGAGTTTCTCTTGAAGTTTTTGATGACTAGATTATGTTAAAATTTTTCATTCATGTTGCAGATGTTTCCAGATGTTTCAGATAATTCATCAGCTTACTACTAGTCCTGAAGATATTCTAATGGTAAGATATGAGGGAATTTTTAGGATAGTTTAAAATTTGTGTATTAAATTTATGTCCATCTGTTGTTTCATATGACCTTTTGCTCTTAAGGGTCTGATAAAAAATATTTTCTTCTTTATTCTAACAATTCTTTTCAAAACCAGTATAAGACAATTGTGTAAGTTACAGCTAATGTAAAAGACCGTGTTCATTATAAAAAATAGAAGAATCAAGTTCAGCATCTTCTATTGGAGAGGACAGAATGGAGGAGAAAATCGCATCCAGTTTTCTGTAGAGTGTATCATACGAAGTACTTGAAAACAGATGGGCATGTTCTTGATAAAGGTTTATCTGTACTACATAGGAGACCTTTTAACTGCTTGGATGGACATGCTAGAGAATGAAGGCATTCATGAGGTGCTTAGAGATTGAGTGATGAACCCTAGGGAAATCATGCCTTCCAGGTAGGGATGACGGACTAGAGGATACCACTGGGTTCTCTTATCTGAAGCTTTGACAGACTGGCTTTTGTATCATTGAACTGACCAGGATGGCATTTTAGTTATTTTTTAAAAAAGATGTATTTATTTTATTTGAAAGATAGCATATCATAGAAAGAGAGAGGAAGAGGGGAAAGATCTTCCATTTGCTGGTTCAGTCTCCAAATGCCTCCAAACAGTTAGGGCTAAGCAACACTGAAGCCAGGAACCAAGAACTCTAACCAGGTCTTCCATTGTGGCAGGAACTTAAGCACTTAGGCCATCACCCGTTGCCTTCCAGGCACATTAGCAGGAAGTTGGATTTGAAGTGCAGAGTAGCCCGGACTCGAACCAGGCGCTCCAGTATAGGATGTGGGCATCCCAAGTGGTGGCTTAACCCATTGGGCCACAACATCCACCTTTAAGATGGGTTTTTAAATACTGTGTTCATAAATGGAAAGAAGCAAAATCTTGCCAGTGTTCTTAACCATTAGGGAAAATGCAAAGTAAGAAGCATAACCAGGGGCCAGTGCTGTGGCATAGTGGGTGAGGCCGCCGCCTGTGATGCCGGCATCCATATGGGTGCCAGTTCAAGTCCCAGCTGCTCCACTTCCAGTCAGCTCTCTGCTGTAGCCTGGCAGAACAGTAGAGGATGGCCCAAGTCTGTGGGAGACTGGAAGGAGGCTCCTGGCTTTGGATCAGCACCCAGCTCTGTCTGTTGCAGCCATTAGGGAGTGAACTTTCTCTCTCTCTCTCTCTCTCTCCCCCTCTACCTCTACCTCTCTGTAACTCTTTCAAATAAATAAATAAATAATTTTTTTTTTTTTTAAAAGCATAACCTATGTTTCTGGAGAACTAACTTGACTGGTCAAGAAAAAGTTTCCTCCTCAGGGGCTGGCACCGTGGCTCACTGGTTAATCTTCCGCCTGTGGTGCAGGCATCCCATATGGGCGCTGGTTCTAGTCCCAGTTGCTCCTCTTCCAGTCCAGCTCTCTGCTGTGGCCTGGGAAGGCACTGGAGGGTGGCCAAGGTGCTTGGGCCCCTGCACCCGCATGGGAGACCAGGGGAAAGCACCTGGCTCCTGACTTTGGATTGGCGTAGCTTCGGATCGGCGTAGCTCTGGCTGTAGTGGCCATTTAGGGGGTGAACTAACGGAAGGAAGACCTTTCTCTTTGTCTCTCTCACGTCTAACTCTATCTGTCAAATAAATTTTAAAAAAAGTGAAAAAGTTTCCTCCTTTGTGGAGACTGATCATAGTGATAAGTAGTGAGTAAATTAATCGCCTTTTAGAGGAGAGTTAACTCTGTAATAATTTAGTTCAACAAGAGTTGATCCAGTGCTCAAAATGTTCTGGGTACCGGGCCTTCTTGATCTAAAGAGCAAGAGACAATCCTGCCTCTGAGGAATTTATAATCATGTTGCAGGGACAGACCCATAAGCGGATAAATTCAACATAATGTGGTAAGTTCTATGTGAGAGACTTGCACAGGGATTTATGGGCACCCCAAGGGCGTTCTCTTGCAGCCACTCTGACAGATCCATTGAGCCCTGCTAGGAATATCCACCTCAGGGGCTTTGATCTCACTTTGTTGCTGGGTGTTACCAAGGAAAATGATACAATTTTAGATTCGAGAACTTAACTCCATGAGTATATAGAACCATATTCATCATTTCAGAATGAAAGTTAGTAAAAAGTTGTATTAGATGAGAAAGATTCTGTACATTTTTTTTAAGATTTATTTTTTATTTATTTGAAAGAGTTAGAGAAAGGAGAGGCGGGGGGCAGGGTGTCTTCCTTCTGCTGGTTCACTCCCCAATTAGCCACAACGGCTGGAGCTGCGCCAATCTGAAGCCAGGAGCTTCTCCTGGATCTTCCACACAGGTGCAGGGGCCCAAGGATTTGGGCCATCTTCTACTGCTTTCCCAGGCCATAGCAGAGAGCTGAATCGGAAGTGGTGCAGCCAGGACTTTAACCAGCACCCATGTGGGATGCTGGCACTGCAGGCAGTGACTTTACCCGCTATGCCACAGTGCTGGCCCTGGTTCTGTACATTTGATTTAGTACTGCTAGAATGACACTGAGATGTCCAATTTAACAAATGAAACATCTGTGAGACAAAGCTGAGAGATTTTTTAAAAATTTTTTAAGTATTCTTTCTTTTTTTTTTTAAAGATTTATTTATTTGAAAGTCAGAGTTACACAGAGGAGAGGCAGAGAGAGAGAGAGAGAGAGAGAGAGATCTTCCACCGCTGGTTCACTCCTCAGTTGGCCGCAACGGCAGGAGCTATGCGGATCCGAAGCTAGGAGCCAGGAGCTTCTTCCGGATCTGCCACGTGGGTGCAGGGGCCCAAGCACTTGGGTCATCTTCTGCTGCTTTCTCAGGCGGTAGCAGAGAGCTGGATCAGAAGTAGAGCAGCTGGGACTCGAACCAGCACCCATATGGGATGGTACTGCAGGTACTGCTGGTACTGCAGGCGGCAGCTTTACCCACCACACCACAGCACCGACCCCTGCTCCACTTCTGATCAAGCTCCTTGCTAATGTGCCTGGGGAAGCAACAAAGGATGGCCCAAGTATTTGGATACCTGCTGCCCACTTGGGAGACCTGGAAGAAGCTCCTGGCTCCTGGCTTTGGCTCGGCCCAGCTGCAGCTGTTGGGGAATGAACCAGAGGATGGATGATCTCTCTTTCTCTCTCTCTCTGTCTCTGTCTCTCTGTCTCTCTCCCTCTCTCTCTGTAACTTTGCCTTTCAAATAAATAAGTATTTAAAAAAAATATATGAGAGGCAGGGAAAGCTCCCATTTGCAGGTTCATTCCCCACACGCCCACAATAGTTGAGGCTAAGCCCAGCTAAAACCAGTATCCAGGAACTCAATCCAGGTCTCCCACATGGGTGGGAGGGATCCAATTACTTGTGCTAACATTTCCTGCTTCCCACAGTGCACATTATTAGAAGTTGGATCAGGAGTGGAGCCAGGACTTAAACTCATGCACTCCAGTATGGAATACTGGTATCCCAGGTGGACTCTTAACTGCTAGGCCAGATACCTGCCCCCCAGATGTATGGGAATGAGGGGATGGGAGCTGTTAGGAAATGTAACAGGTTTGTTATAGAATGTGATCCATCATCAGGAATATGCTAGCTCATCACACCACCTGGGGAATTTCCAGTATTCCTTGAAAATTAAATTTAGTGAGTAAAATAAAACTATAGAACTTGTGACTTTCATTGGGACCCTTACACTAACATTAACAATATTGTGTACATTGCCTTTATTGTCAGATCACAAAAGATGTCATTAAAGAATTTGCAGATGATGGTGTCAAATACCTGGAACTAAGGAGCACTCCCAGAAGAGAAAATGCTACTGGTAAAATTTAATTAGCTTCTCAGTGAAAGTCCAGTTCTTTCCCATGTGCTTTGGTCACTGACATGTTTGTGAGTTGTAAATGTGAGGCTGTGCTGTTGTAATGCTCTCTGTTTTCTTAGGGACCTTCAGTCAACAGAGTTCAAATCACATGGTGGATGTTGTTAATGATCCTGAAGTAAAAATTGAACAGTTCTGTTTAAGAGAGGGAGAAATGCCTGTGCAAATCTCTGGTTCCAGGAGTTCTTTTTGGTCCACCATGAGAAAAGGACGCATCAAACTCGTGGGTCTCAAGTATAGTCTAATCAGTGCATACGAGAGAGCTGGCTC